AATCACAAGATAACGAAGATCACCCAATTAGAAAATTGAAATTGTTGATATTGAAATCGTTTATCACGTCCTACAAAGTACAAGTACAACACTACGACCATTCTCGCTCTCCAACTTAGAAACTTAAACACAAATTACCCCATGTGGCAAAGGTGGCCCTCCTTCCCATTCCCTTGTTCAAAGCAAAGCAGAAAACAAAGTGATTAGGGGATTTTTTCCCCGCCACGTGGACCAATGATATCCTGCCACGTGTCTTCCACGTGGACCGATCAGAGTCCACCACGTGTCACCTCGTGATATGTCTAAGGTGGACCAATCAGGTCACGACACGTGGCAGGCCGAATTGCTAACTGAGCAACTGGCTTCCTACGGCACAAAGTTCCAGGCAAAGCCCAATCAGCCCTAGGTTTACTGAAACCTAGTATTGGGCACGTTTTCCAACACCCTATAAAAGGAAGATGTTTTCCTTTTAGGAGATGGTATTTAGAAATATTTAATACACATTAACTCTCCATTAGAGAAAGTCAGACACCTGACACCTCGAACTGAGCAATTACACATTGCAGATTCTCTCTTGGAATCCGAGAGAGACCCCATTATTTTCCACACTTTACTCCTCATACACGTTCTAACTTGATCGTCGGAGGCGGAGCTCCCACCCACCGGAGTCTCCATTGTTTTGCATGTACAGGCAGCTAGAGGTCAATCTTGGTGTTGTAATTCTCCTGAAGGACATAAAAAAACCCCAAAACATTTGGCGCCGTCTGTGGGGAGAGTTCTTCAAAGATGACTTCACAAGAACCTGTACCACCTCTTAATGAGAAACGGCCTACGGCCGACGTCTAGGTCTTCTCAGACCAAGATACAGATGACAACTATGAAGTCGCCACTCATACGGCCCCTAACGGGTCCCTCAAGACACGCCGCATTTGACCCACCGAAAGGAGGGAACGGAACACTGACCAGGCAGGCTCCAGTGAAACAGTCGGCCAGCCGACAGGTCAACCTCAGGCGGCCGAAGGATCCACCCCCATCACTAGAAATGAGCTCATGACCCTCATGACCAGTTTCAAAGGGGAGATAAAGGATCTTATTGATAAACGGACGGTTGTCCCTACCAAGGAACAATCAGCCAAGAAGCCCTCTTATTCTAGGAGGAAAAAGCCGGTCAATAGCCGAGAGGCCACTCCTTACCCTAAACCAAGGGAGGGACAGAAGCCTTTGATAAACCTGGCTGAACTGCGGTTCCCTGAGCCAGGGCAGAGGAAGGCCATCCGGCATATACAGCCGGATGGTTCCCAGAAAACATATTCTGATGCTCGGATGATAATCCAGCAAAAGAAGAATATGCAACTGTCAGAGTTGGCCTCCATGTCGAACTTCAATGACAGTTTTCAGAATGCCTCGCTGAGGTATTCTCAATCAAACCAAGAAGACCAGACAAGCGGTCTATCCACCCATTCTAGTCCTCAGATGTTCCAGGCCCCGTATGTGCCTTAACAGCCATACATGTCGTATGGACCACCTTATGTGCAGCCTACCCTCTTCGGGGGGCAGGCGGCACCCAATATCCAGCCTCCAACTGCTAAAACCTGGGGAACAGCCTTTAGCTTTCTCCAAGGAAATAACTGAGGCCGCACAGCCGGCCAAGGTGAAGAATGTGTTGGTAGGCACTTATGATGGTACCTCCAACCCAGAAGACCACCTGATGGCATACACCAACCTTATGTATCTACAAGGGTTGGATGATTCTACTTGGTGTAGATGCTTCCCGGCCACATTGAAGGGTGTCGCCCAGCAATGGTTCGGCAACCTGCCGGCCGAATGCATCAATAACTTTAAGACGCTGGCATACTTGTTCGCGTCAAACTTCTCAATGAATATCCCTGCAAAGAAGACAAGTCTTAACTTGGGAGCCATACAGCAGGATGAGAAGGAGAGGCTGTGCTCATATATCAGGCGCTTCAATCTGATAAAAATTCAGATTCAAGGGCTGTTTGATGAGGTAGCTTACACAGATTTTTTCAAAGGTCTGAAGGACAGGTCGGCCTTCAAGTTCGATCTCTTCAGAAAGAGGGTGGCTACCCTCCAAGAGGCACTGATGGAGGCGGACGCCTATATACAGGCGACCGAGCTCTTCAACATCAGTAAGCAGTCGGACTCAAAGAGGTCTGACAAAAAAGAGAGTCGACCATCAAGGCCGGCTAAGAAAGAAGAAAAGAAAAGAAAACAAGTCTGGGTGGCTGAATCCTCTGAACAGCCGTGTCCTAGAAGAAAAAGAAAGAAGCGAAGACGTACTCCCCAAAGTACGAATTCAATAAAGACTGTTACTCCATCCTCATGGAGATAAATTAAAGTACCGGGTCTCTATTGACAAGCCGGCACCTATGAAGGGTTCTGCCAAAAATCGGAACAAAACCAAATACTGCCACTACCATGAGGATGTTGGCCACGACACCAACAAATGCTATAGCCTCAAGCGGTTGTTGGACCGTCTGGCTGATAAAGGAGTCCTCAAGTCTTATATCTTGAGGTCCAAGGTTACCTTGCAGACTAACCCTGGACAGTCGTCCAAGAAGAAGCCCCACTCTGCTAATAGCTCGGATACGGATGAAACTCCGATCTATACAATAGCAGGCGGCTTTGCTAGAGGCGGCCCTACCATCCGGGGCAATAAAGACTATGTCAGGTGCCTCGATGTTAACTTAGTCGATGAGGGACAGACGTCCAAGGGCTACTTCCCCGAAGTCGTTATCACTGAGGAGGACAAGGGCATAATCAAGAGGCCACATGATGATCCTATTGTCATCGAATGCAAAATGGCCAACTAAAGAGTTGGCCGGATCCTCATTGACACTGGGAGCTCGTCTGATCTCATTAGTCACAAGTGCCTGGCCAAGCTCAGGTACAAGCCCGAAAGTATGCACCAGGTCTCTCATCCCTTAGTAGGATTTGGGGGTGGTGTGGTACATCCGGTAGGACGAATAGACTTACCCATTTGACTTGGCGAGAAGGGGGAGGGACGCCACATGGTGGTCCGGTTCTTAGTTTTTGAAGAACTGACGGCTTACAACATGATTTTGGGGCGCCTTACCCTGAATGAATCCAAAGCTGTTATCATCCCTTCTCTTATGCTTCTCAAGTTTGAGAGGGATGATGGAATAGTAGGCTCCCTACGAGGAGACCAGAAGATGGCCAGGGAGTGCTACCTCTCTGATGTCAAGCCCACTGTGGTCACAGCCGGCCCCAGTAGAGAAACAACTGACCTTGACCAAGTCAAGGAAGTCACGCCTGCTGCAACAGCAGCCGGCAAGAAGAGAAAGGCCAACCAAATGATGGTCAAGAAAAAAGACAGGCAATAGCAATCACTGACTGGTCAAAGGCCGGATGAACTCCGTCCCCAGCCGGCTGGTGAACACATGGACATCGTCCTAGATGGCTCTCGTCCCGACCGGACTGTTAAGGTCGGGACGCCTGCTTTTGCTGAACTTGGTGCAGACTTGCACCACTTGTTGAAAGAATTCAAAAACATCTTTGCCTTTGAAGTGGACGAGATGCCAGGCATCAGCCCGGATCTAGCCGTCCACAAACTTGCTATGGATCCCAAAAAGAAGCCGGTAAGGCAAAAGAAGAGGAACCATGGTGAAGAAAGAAGCCAGGCGGCAGCCGCTGAGGTGGAAAAATTGTTAGATGCGGGTTTCATTCGGTAATGCTACTTCCCTGATTGGTTTGTCAATTTTGTGCTTGTAAAAAAGCCAAATAAAACCTGGCGCATGTGTGTAGACTACACAGACTTGAACAAGGCATGTCCGAAGGATAGCTATCCTTTCCCAAAGATCGAGAGTCTGGTCGACTCTACAGCCGGCCATGCTTTGATGAGCTTCATGGACGCCTATTCAGGCTTCCACCAGATACCCCTGTGGAAGAAAGATCAAGAAAAGACGGCATTCGTCACTGATCAAGGGTTATTCTGCTACGCAGTGATGCCATTTGGTTTAAAGAATGCGCCTGCTACCTTCCAAAGAATGATTAATACAGTCTTCATTAATCAAATAGGAAGGAATGTGGAGGCATATATTGATGATATGATAGTCAAATCCAAACTCCAAATGGACCATCTTACAGATCTCCGAGAAACATTCGCCACACTCAGGCGGCACCAGTTCATGCTAAATCCCAAAAAATGTGTTTTTGGTGTTGAGTCTGGGAAGTTCCTCGGATTTCTGATTGATCAAAGGGGATAGAGGCCAATCTAGAAAAAATACAGGAGGTCATAGACATGCAGTCTCCCCGCACTGTAAAGGAAGTTTAAAAATTAACAGGTTGTTTGGAGGCATTGGGGAGATTCCTCAGTCGGTTAGGCGACAAGTGCCTCTATTTCTTCCAAGCAGTCAAGAAGAAGACTATGTTTGAATGGGGGGACGGATGTAGAGGCGGCCTTCTAAAAGTTAAAGGAACACTTGCACTCCTTGCCAAGGCTTATCATCCCTCTGTCAAAGGAAGTGTTATACATGCCGTCTCTGATCATGCTCTTAGTGTTGTTCTTCTTGCTGAAAGAGACGGCTGCCAGCTCCCCGTTTATTTCATCAGCCATGTCTTGAAGAATACTACCATCTCCCCGACTTGATGGTGTTTGTTGACTTTCTACCTTCAATTCTGTAGGAAAAAGTAAATGTGCATGGTGGAGCCGTGTCTTTGGGACACCCTCTTGGGTGCAGTGGAGCACGAATCATCATGACACTCTTGGGGGTATAACTCTAATTGCTTTTTACGGTGTATGTTTGTATAGTTTGGTGCAAAAATGTACCTCAAAATCATTTCATTTGCCACAGTTACAATTTTGTTATCCTCATACAATGAATAGTGGGTATATTAGGTTAAAACGAGTTATCAAAAGTATCTTAATGCAACCCTTTTTTGGTTGGCTGTATCTTTTTACAGAGTTGTTATTGACTCTTTCCTGATGTAATTGCATTGCTTTTTACAGTACTACAACAGAAAAGTGGGAAATATGGTGTTGCTGGTGTTTGTAATGGTGGAGGTGGTGCATTTGCTCTTGTTGTAGAGCTTTTCTAAGACTTGATATTTAAGGTAACCCCAAGCAATAGTCCTCACTCATTGCAGTTTTGAATAATATATCATTAAGGTTTGGGCATCTTCATTCCTGCTTTTGGCCCTTAAATAGTTCTGTACTTTCTGAAATAGAAATTCCAGCAGTATATAGTATCATTTAGTGAAGGATACAAAATAAATCTGACTGGGAGAGAACTCTGAAATGTGTTGTATTATGCTTTTAAATTGCAGGCTTATTGAGGACTTAGCTCATCACAATGTTGGAGGAGCTGTTAGAAATAAGTTGTATGCAACCTGTCATTTATGACATTTTTTATGCCCTTTATATGGCTCCAATAATGCAAGCATTTTTTTAAAATAAAATAAAATTAATAGTGGTACAAATGTTTTCATACTTCGGTAGCTTTTGGTGTTTGTTTTTTTTTTTCCTTACTTCGCATTTGGAAGTTTAGATGATATGATAGTATTTGTTTTATGTTGTACTAGGAACGACCAATTGAATGGGGGCATAAGCTGTATTCTTTGTATCTCATCTTTAAGTTTCTGTCTATTCTTGATTTTAAGTAATAATAAGCTGAATGTTGATTCCGAAAATGGAATTGGATCCATTGTAAATTGCAATTAACCTGAATGGTGAGTGCAAGTCCATCAGCTGGATTATTAAACAGTTGGTTTTGTGTTACTATCATTGACAGGTGAAAAGTGATGGTTTTCAACTTCAAATTCCATCATCTTGTATTAGACTGTTTAAGAGTGGCAGCTAATCATTAATTAGTAGGGGCCTAATTGCTCATCTTTTCCTATAATACTGTTCATAAATTTTGTTTATCACAAAGGTATAAAAAATGAAATGCAATACTCATTAGATCTTGCTAACGAACGCCTCCGGGGCGTTAAATAACCCTTTAAAATAGTTCCTAAAATGGTACGGAGTATTAATTTGAAAATACATGCCAAAATCACACGGTGATCAATGTAATTAATGTTTATGGAGTATTTCAAGTTAATATTTCTACTTTAATTTATCTTGTCGTTCGTTAGCTTTTGCCATTAATAATAATAATTATGAACATTAATTACGGACATTAATAATAATTATGAATATTAATTATGGACATTAATATATATGTGGACATTAATATAAAATGAAAACAACCGGAAACAAGGAGATCTAAACAAAAGTTTTGACATGGGCTAGATTGCTTTACTATATGTCTATATAAAACCATAAATATAAATTAGAAATAGCATAATATCAATTGAGTATATGAAATCATGAAACACTTTTGTGAGACTTTTCAAGTGCATTTGCACATCCAACTAACATCTCAAGAGAGTGCGGCTAACCAAATATAAATAGAGATACAAGATATACTTGATACTAGTACAACACATGTTACAGACTACAAGAAACCGAAACCTAAAGAAAAGAAAAAAAAAATAAAATAAATCAACATATAGTGATAATTGCCGCCAAAACTTCAACTTTGAACTACCAAAATAACAAGAAGGGAAAAAGTAAGGAATGGCAAAAGCACAAAAGTGGGAACTATATGAAGCTGCTCTAAAATTGGGGGCAACATGTATTCATTCACCAACAAAACACTAAACTCTGGATGTCCCAAGCTTGCGTTCAAACAGGTGTTTGAGCAGATAGACTTGGAGAACACTCGCCCCAATAAGTGCTGCTGATTCATAGATTGCCTTATGGATTGCTCTTTTGCTCATTCCTTCGTTAACTGCATCCAAATCAGGCAAATTTCAAGTCATATTTCTCATGTTGTTAACAATGTACACAAGAACTACATTTTTTTTAAGTATGCGGGGAGAGAGAAAATCTTAAACATACATAAACTAAGCTAAACGATAAGGGAGAATTCGGTATATCAATTTACAGCTCGTTCTACAACGAGCAAGAGATAACTTTAACTCTTTATAAGTTTCACTCTCTAATGCATAAAACTGATTCTTGCCTATCCTTAACAGAGTTTACAAAGACAAATTATTAGTTATTTTTCTTGTAAAAAACATGCAATTTAGGATTTTATTTGGTCATATAACTTCCAAGATAGGGAAGCAAATTCTAGGCAAGTGCAAAATGGGGATTACAACATCCAATTTCAATTTTATTATGCATAAGCATAGATAACAGCTCTTAGCTGAATTTTACATCAAACAATACATAGTCACAAGTTCATGGTATAGTTCACTTAATGTTTAATCAAAATTGGCACGGGACTAAAAACAAGTCTGAAATATATATATAGCTTGCAGGGCCTAAAAGATGAACTAATCTAATACTGTCTCTCACGAATAATAATAGTATTCATAAAATAACATTTTCCTGATAATTGCGTATTTTTGGCAAAGGTCTAATTTTGGAAATTTTGATCTAAACCTATTTATAGTTACTTTAAGGTTCACTTTTGGAATACACAGGAAACAAAATTTTTATTAAATAAAGCATGATTTGGAATAAAAATATGTTCCCAAAGAACGTACTTATTGCTTGGCGATCGGTCTCAGCCTCCAACCAGTGCTGTTCAAACTGTATGTTGTAAAGAGCCTCCTCTAATTTATTAATCTGTTCATACACTGGACTCAAATGCTCTGCAAATTGTCACATTGGTCTCATAAGATTTTCCTTAAATGAAACAGTAGAAAAAAATTGTTCAAATAAGGCAATGTATTGAGCTATTACCATCTTTTGCATGATGGTCAACATATCCATAGTGACCGGCAAGCACATCAAAATCTATGGTTTCATGATACGGGGACCCATTGGTAAAGCAAAAGTTGTAGACCCCCTTCTTGTGGGCGATAAACTCAAACTTCTCACTAGTTTTGTCACGAGTGTCATGGATTTGTTCACCATCAGGTCCTTTCACCTAGCATCAAGACAATATGCCAATAAAGAGTAAGAGAAAAGTTTGCCACATTTTTTTAATAATAATCTTTCCAAAGCATGAAGTTCAATTAAAAAATAATATTGAATCATTATTAAATTGCACGTATAAAAATAAAAAATCTTACCGGGCTTTTTAACTAAAAGCCTTGTAAGGGGGAGTTTGGATTGAAACTACAATTTCGCTTTTGGTTACAAATCAAAACCATAGACCATTTGTATATAGAGCATCAAATACAAGTTCCATGAAACCAAAGGCTTTATTTGTGTTAGAGCGGGGGAACAAGGCTCATATAGATGTTGTTTCGGGGTTTTTTGATGTGTCCTACGGGAGAGTTACAATTCCGAGAATGCCCTTCAACACTTGTACCTGCAAAACCACGAAGTCTCCGGTTGGGCGGAGCTCCGCCAAAGACGATCAAGTCATTTACGTACAGGAGGAAAAGTGTGCGTAAATAGTGGAATTACTTCTCACGTAATGGGAGAATTCTGCAATTAATATTGCTCAAGGTTGGTGTATGTATTTATGAATACCCATTAATGAGGATCCTTCCACTATTTATAGTGGGGAGTCTTGGTTCCCCATTTAGGGTTCATTGGACACGTGTCAGCAGGGGATTGGAGCCCTGCTGACCAATGGTTGGGTGCCACGTGTCGCTTGGTCATAGGGCCACGTGTCTGGGGTATTTTTTACCCCAAAAAGATGTAAATCACACAAGTGGGATAGCAAGTAGACACATTATGAAACTACTACCCCGGCTGCATGGGGCATGAGTTGCTATAAGTGCCATCACTCAAAGTTATCCTTGATAACCACACCTCCTTTCTCCTCCAACCAAAACAAAATACATACCTACACTTTGGCAGAAAGACGACTGTTTTCTCATCAGCCTACTCATATGACTCATTCAGCGTTCTTTGAGGTCCCAAATGACACCCAATTTCCAATAAAACTGCCAGTCTTCTGTGCTATAAAATTCATCATTTATAGAATTGCTTCCACCAATAATGTGACCTCTGGGATTTAGGACCTCATCCTCGATTAGGGCAAAGGAATCAATTGTATCAGTATCATTATCCACACTTAAGATACTTTACACATTTACTGTGTTTTCTTCACAAAGTACTTGACTGGGATGTGGTGGTCTGTCAAGGTGATTTGTTGAGAAAAAAGGACCTCTACAGTCAGAAATTAGGCTTGAATGCCCACATTGCTATATTTTATTAACAAGTTAGCAATTTATTATCATGTATTGCGTTAGTGCGGATCATGGTTATAATGAGGTTTATAATCCAGCCTGAATTTCTTTCTATAAAAGAGAGGGAGAGAAAGAAATCAAGTACAACAAACTACTCTAACAAATATCTTCTTTAAATTATGGAACCCCTGGAGCTTTTTATGTGATTGTATTAAAAGGTCATCCCCTAACGTCACATATACTAAAAGAGATGGGCCGGGGGGTCCAATCAATTCCAATCCATCTAAGATGTTAAGAGATAAAAGAGGAATTATTCGAAAAGATATTTCCTTGGTCAAGGTTGTAGTATGATATCCATTAATGCTTAATTTGGAAATCTGAGATAAAATTATAGTGGTATCTTGGAGCTTTGGTTGGATTTTAATTACCACTAAAGCCAAAAATGTGTTTCAAGGTACCTTGCGTTAAACTTGGCCAAGTGTTTATTTTAAAGGTCATTTTGGAAGCTTTGAATTGAAATTATTTTTCGGATTTAAATTACTCATTTAATCTAATGTGGTTCGATTTTTTTTTTTTTTTTTAAATTATGTCCGATTTTTTTTTTAATGAAGGGGTCCGAATTTTTTTTAATTTTGGAAGGTCCGAAATATTTTTTTTTTTTTTTTTTGAAAGTGTTCGAAATTTTTTATTAGAGGGGGTCGAAAATATTCAATTATTTTTGGTGATTTTCGAAATTAATTTGGTTAAAAAGAAATTCTAAAATAGTTTTAGTTTGCTCGTTTTGCGGGAAAGCAAAAGATAAAGGTATGAATTATGTGTTAAAAGCTTTAAAAGCAAAGCATGTTTTGTGATTGGGTAGGCAATAATTGGGCATATAAATTAGAATTATTTTGTTCTTGTATGCATTATTTATTTAGATTCTGTTTTTGATCATGGGAATTAAATGTTATGTGGAATGAAAGCATGTAATTATGTGTAGAAAAGAATTGTATGGTTGGACACCAAACTTATATTCATGCACGAACTGTGTTATTTTCTTTTTCTTTTGGGAAGGGCTTTCTTTTCTTAGCTTCTTTTATTTACAAGATGCCGATAGCACTCTCTAGTAAGTACACAAAAATCAAAACTTTAATTAGGAAACCCTATGAACACCCTATGACTTTGTTAGGAAGATCCGTTTTCACGACTCTTAGTTATGTGATGTCATGGGAGACGAACAATGGGATCTTCCGGGTCGTATTTCAGCCTTAATAGACGAGCCACCCTACATAGCCATAAAAAACAAATTTGCTGATTTTTATTTGCTTAAGGGTCTACCTAACTATTTTCAATACAAATATCATATTATCATTATATTTATCATACATGCACCGTTCATGTTAAACGAGGTAGAGGGAGACCGAAAATGACTTAGTTGGAAGGAGTTAGGAAGGATATGAAGCATATGGATGTGCATGAGAATGAGTTATTTGACCGTAAGGGGTGGAGGAGGAAAATTTGTGTGGATAACTATACGGAATAATCACTTTTGATTCATGTAGCCGACCCCACTTATGGGATTAAGGCTTTGATTGATTGATTGAAGCACCATTCATAGAATTTGCAAAGGTTAATTTTATTGACTAACTAATAGAATGCATTTTCTTAATCCATTGAAACATGATAAGAAAATACAGTATTCACATTCCTCATGCAACAAGAAAAGAATTTTCTTAATTCCTTGTTCACTCCACTATTCTAAAAAAAAAAAAAAAAAAAAAAAAAGCAATCTAAGATGCTCTAGGGGAAACCAAAGTGAAATTACTTTCATGTCTTTTCCAAATTGAGAATCTGGTTTGAACCTTCTAGGTGAGACATGTATGTAAGCTAAGACTTTTATGATAGCATGGCCCATACAACTTGTAAGTTGTAAGCACAACTACTCATATTTCATGTAGATGCCAACACCTTAGAAACAATAACCATATTGATTACTGTTTCCTTAATAAACATAGAAAATCTTAAATTCATTCTATGTACTTGAAAAGTTATTAAATCTTGAAAATAACTTTGATCTCTCATATGGAAAAAAATATAGAAGATAGGATCAAAAATCTTGAAAAAGTCAAAAATAGGTTTTGAAATCAGTCATCAACTACTATAAGCCATACATTACAGAGGAGAAAGCTACCAACTCTGAAAGTTTCTTCACCAACACATTGCTAAGTCATAATGACTTATACAAAAATCAAATCCTAGCATTATTAATGTTCCTAACATTTACTTACTGGAAAACACAATAAGGGGTTGACTACCTCTAAATTGGATGGTTTATAAGCTCCTCAATCCTCACAGCCAACCACTAACTTGTCCATCACAATAAAACCAACAACAATTTCCTCCTACACACTCCACCACACCACCTTATTAACTGTTATTTCCTATGTAGAGATGAAGCGTGGGGTTTGTCAGTTTGACCATAGATGAGAAGTTATATTGGGTCTCGCCTCTCATCAAAAGAAACCATTATTGTTCACTGTTCCTTAGGTTCTAATTGATGCTAATGGCTAAAGTAGCAACTTTAGTTCAAACAAAATTCACAAAAAAAAAAGGATATCACATGGATTTACAATTACACCATCTCCCTTTTCACTATCTATACAATAATCCTCTCTATTTTAATAACCAAGCAACACTACATGAAACAACATTCAAACAATAACACAAGAACCTAATCAAAACCGCCTTCGACAGCAATGATAGTTTACAATTTTACATACCTAATAAAAACTAATTCCAAATCCAAACACAATTCAATTGGTGTTTCCCTAACATAAGGTAAGTAAATAAAAATGCAATGCCAAAATCATAAATTAAACCAAAACCCATCAACAAAATAAAGTCTTGAACATAAAATTCCATAAATAAAAGGCAAATTCAACAAAACCTATAAACAAAATTTTAAAAAAAAATTAAAGTAAGGAGATAAAGAAGAAGAAAATACCACAAGATCAACACCACCTTCATTGTCACGATGCCAAGGGGTATCAGCTTTGATAACAACAAAGGAAAAATGAAGAGTATCACCTTCATATTCAACCTTATGAGAAAAGCATTCTGTTCTATCAATCACAAATCTTAACCCATTTACTCCTTTTAATATTCTTATACTCCATAACATTATTATTATAATACCCATCAAATTTTTCTTCATACCCATCTTTTTCTTCTTATTATGCATCATTGTAACATGAATATAATCAACAATTGAACAAAGAAACATACAAAAATAAGTCAAAAGATAGAAACTTTGAAGATTTTAGATTCTGGGTAAAGCAGAATTGAGCAAATTACCTCTAAAATTAAACCAAAAAAGTTGCTTGAATTTGGAATAATCGGGTTTTTTTTTTTTTTTGTTTTTGTTTTATTGATCTGCAAGATTATGAATTTGATTGAAGTTAAAGTTTCTGGCTTTTTGAGGTTGGAATCTTAGAACATCCCAACCCCTCTTTTTTTTTTTTGGATTTTTAATTTTTTTTGGTTTTCTAAATTATGAGAGGAAGAGGAAGAAAAGGACATGTGAGGGACGTTAACTTTTGAAGGGTTTGAGTTGTACGTATTTTTGTAATGTGGCAAATTCTCATTGGTTTTTATGGACAAACAAGGGACAATATGTTTTACTTCAAACTTCAAATGCTAATTGGGTCAAATTGAAATTCCTTTATTTAACTAAGGTAACCAATTAACCATCAAAAATTTGTAGGTAATTTTTTTTATTTAACTAGGCCGAGTAGTCGAGTACAAGCCCACGGAAAGTTTGCCACATATAAATCTGGCAAAATTCCAATCTAAAGGTAATTGGTGATAGGTGGAGCCGTGGAGTAGTCTTACTATTTTTATATACTAGTCATTCTCTTCAATGTGAGATAACTAGTTTCAACTCAATTATGGTTATTTTTTTAATGTTCTCCTACACATGTGAGCTACCTTTAATCTTGCGATGTGGAAATGTCACAATTTTTATTGTTGGGCATTCTTTTGATTTCCAACATGAGGCCAGGCCAAATGGCCCGTGCTTAGGCAATTGCAATTCTATAGGGCTACTTAATCCAAACAAGTCTTCAAATCACTTTCATCTTGCATTCTTCAAATCATTGAACCCTATTTTATTAAGTGTTGACAATAGATTAAGATCATTTACTCTGATACCATGACAAGTTTTAGGTAACAATTTAATATTATAGCTTTTTTATATTATTGAAAAAATCATCAAATATTCATAATCAAGAATTCTTAGTTACTCTCAATTAAACATTCCTAACATCATACAATTTCCCCTACGATAATATTAAATATCATATCTTTACTCATTAAATCGTACATTGTATCTTAAAATAATTAATCATAAACCTATCATGCTCCTAATATATTGATTATATCTGGGATGAGTCACGGTTTGGCGGGTGGTGGGTAGGGATAGGGATAAAAACCATACCCGTCATGGGTGATGGGGCGGGGGTGGATTTTAGGTTGTACCTGCCCCATCCCCGCCCCACTTCGTAACTGTCCCATACCTATATCCATATATTTTTAAAAAATAAAATTATACACTTTTATACTATTTTATAAAACAAAAAAATTAAGTAAAATAAAGTAGTAAAAAGAAAAAGTGTAATATTGACAATGATTTTTTCTTTTATTATAATCTATATTATGTAGTATTGTTGTATTTGGGAAGTGAGGATTAGGTGGATCTTGGGTGGGGATTTGGTAGGTGGATATCCAAGTGGGTGGTGGGGTGGGGATGATCTTGGAATTGTACTCGCCGAGGCGGGGATAGGGATTTGACCCGCTGTGGGATAGGGATGGGGATGGGGATGGGAAGGCCAACATCCGTCCCGCCCCCGCCCCATTGATATCCCTAATTATATTTAATGCCTCTAACATTGCTAACATATCAATACAACTTGATGATGTTCTTTTCAAACCTATTTTGTTTTTTCTTATGGAAAAACACCTCTTATCAAGTATTAGGTTTTTGAAGTAAAATCAAACTCAAATCCATTAACAATTCACTTTAATCATGATTAAGATTTTTAGAGCAAAGCCAAACTCAAATTCATTTTTATCCCTATCTTAGGGCACAAGGAAACCAACTTTGTCTCATGACACAAACTAGAAGAGCCAATAAATCGTCACAATAATTTTCATCTTCATAGAAAATTAACAATTCTTAGATAGAGTGTGATCACATATAACATATAAATCCAGTGGGATTTCACCTTAAACCTAATTGGTAATAGGTAAAGTAACACACTAATATTATATGTTAGTCAATAATCTTCCTCTATTTCCTTAAAATGGGACAACTAGTTCCAACTCACATATGAATTATTTTCCCTACACAATAATTTTTATAACCCCATCACTTAATAATGCTTACTACTTTCCATACATATTTTTAGTTCACTCAGTTTCACTTTAAAATGGGACAACCGTTACTATCCTAAATTATTAAGGAAATAGAGGGGGGAAGACCAAAGTAGAATGACTAACAAAAGACAATTAAATTGTTGTGCATATAGTGTCGAAATAAAACAGTAAAAAACAGAGTTAGTACCTCAGCAATATTGTAAACAAAAGCGTTTGTTCTTGTATTTGCAGAAGAAAAATCTTTAAAGAAGCAAGAGAAGCATCAGAGATAACACTGATAAACGAAGCATATACATATACAACTACTAGCATAATCAATCAGTCATTACAACGCCATATGCACATCTACAACTTCAGGTAAAACAGTGCTCGATTTAATGTACTATGCAGCTCACATAATTCACTAAAGGCTTGGGCTGTGTATCTCTACTTCTATAGTGCTATCCGGAATACTTCAGGCCGTGATAACATTGATTACAAACATTACTGAACAGTTTGGTTAACTTAATATGAACAGGGTATCTATGCTTCCATCATAGATACTGCATTCAGTTTGTAAGATTCTACACAATACTCGTGTTAGGCATCCAGGATGCGTTGCTCCTCCAAGGCCAGCCTTTTGGACAATTGCTGTTGATGGGTAGTGAAAGCCAGATATAAATCCCTTAGCTTCTCTGCCTTGCTGTATTCCTCACTTCCTGACTGAACAACTCTCAATCCATCACCAGCTGACTGCTGCCTTTCGTCCTGTAAATCAGTAAATGAGTAAATGCTCAATGAAAAAAATACAAGTCATAGCAGTGATGATATAAGACACAACAGTGGTGGAACAAGACCAAAATCTTGAGATCAAAAGAGATTCTGACCTTGAGATCTGGTTCCAAACACCAAAAAGAAGGCCTCACCGATTCAGTCGTTGAAGTATCCGACACAATCCATGGCCTGAAGCAGCAAATTGTCATTAATTAGAAAAGTAGAGTGAATTCACTGAACTGTAGCAAAAAAAAAAAAAAAAAAAAAAAAAAAAATACAGCCACACTCTTTGCAAGTGCCGTGGGTTTCAAATTGTCAGCAAACAAAACTACAAAAGTGCTTATTAAAGGCAAAAACCAAAACAAAGAGCAAAGATCAAATTGTAGTAAAGTGAAGAAATAAATTCTGAAGATTATCCATTGAAATCATGGGCATTCTAGAGATCAAATGAGATAATTCTATGTACCTTCCCTTTGATGATGTGATCATCTGGTCTGGTTTAACCAGAAAATTACACAATCTCTCGAGATCCTCAGCACGATCAACCACAAGGGCTCCTCTGGTATATGGCTCTGTAGACAGACTCAAGAAAACAAAAGCTTCAATTTCAAGACCAGTCTCTTCTAATACAAATTCCACAATGGTTGAACGAGATATCTCCTTCTCCAAGTTCTCAACCACAACAAAATAGCGTGCTTCTGTATCTGCAACTTCAGTCTCTCCATTATCCCTCCCTCCCAAACCAATACTACACACATCTGCCACCAATTTATCCAAAGAGTAGAAATAATTATCATCATCTAGCCTTTCCTTAGCATGAACATTATCTCCTCCCCCTCCGAGATCTACATCTTCATTCTTTTCATGGCCAATATTTCCTGTTTTGCGCAGGCAGCACAATCAGAAAGGCAAAACTCGACTTTGCAAAAGAAATCGACACCACTAATCAAAGCATGAGTTCCAAACCTTCATCATATGGCACTATACTTCCCATATGTCTTTCGTCTTCCAATTCCTACAGAATATTAAGGGAAAATCCATCAAACTCATACCATCAGAATAGCTCTGGTTCATTCAAGTACTAGCACAGTGAATAATTCCAGCGGCAAATGAACAACTTGCCTGAATAACATTCCGACGTTGGCAATTTAAAGAGGTAGGACTTTCTTCCTTACGTGTTATATCCTCACTGATCAACTTAGAACAAGGTGAAGCTATTCCTTGCTTCCACTTCGCTAGCTCCAAAAAGCAAGCAACCCGTGGATCAAGCCGAGGAGGCTGGATAGGGCAAAGATCTTCAACTCTTGCTGTTGTCAGTGTCCCAGCTTTTGGACCATGCAGCCATGAAAGAATAACAGTGCATGAGCAATTCTCTGTTTCATCCACAATAGTATGCTCCTCACGCTTCACCTATTCCAGAATACAGGTAGAAAAATAAACACCAAGCAGACTTAAGATACATTTTATCTTGATAAGACCAAGCACAAGTTGAATAGAAGCATTAAAAATTGAGAGTGGAGCAAAAGAACAGCACCACTTCAACTCATATGAAGAAAGGCTACCTACTTAAATTACCCTCTCTGCCTAACGAAGGCATCTAATTCTCCAGTTTGAGATGTTCAAAAATTTACTGTTATCTGGGCAGTGTGTTGCTAGCCAGCAACTTTAATAGATACAAAGTAACAAACTTATGAGAACTGAGATGTTTAGCGTAAGAAAATGAAGAACGCTGCATTATTGCCTCACTAGAAACAGAAAATCCTACAAAAAGCCTGGTATATCTTTCATTGGTTAATAATCTTAATATCGTTCTTGATTCTTGATGATAATTTCCTCTTTAAATTCACTTTCCTTCTCTTGGGACAGCTTTTAAATTAATTGAACCTAACAAGTTAGGAAGTTTAAATTGATAGCAATGATATTACAATGAAGAAAGACATCAGCCATATCCCACATGTCCATATGATGCATTACTTACTGTTTTAGCATAATCCCAAACAAAATGATGCGAGTTCTCGAATGAATAGCTAACAAGATAACAAAAGGCTACTATATCAAATAAAATCCTAGCACATAATCTAGATACAAAAGTGAATGAAATACCCTGTCCATCAAAAAAGTCGCAGTTAAGTTTTGACCCCAATTACAATTAAACTATAAATCTTATGATATCCTATTTAAGACGGATTAAGAAATGCTAATTTTAAGACTGGTAAAGAAATGTTAATTAAATGCAGTTTAAAACAAATCTATGGTAAATCTAGAGAAATCAAACTACCAAAGTTAGATATATTTCCTTGAATCTAGCAATCAATCTCATTTTGTTTAAATCTGTAGCAACCAAGTACGGAGTAAAATAGAAACAGTAGAGTTGATCTGTACAATGGCCATACGACCATACCGATACTCCTTTTTAATAATTGTGAAAAAACATATATATTACGGTCATACGGAGTGCATTTTATGGCTCATTTGGTAAGTGCTAACAAATGTAAGTTTTACTCGTGATTTTGAAAGTTACTT